CCCCGGCCGGCCCGCCATGTCGCCCGCGGCCGCCCCCATGATCAGCTCTGTGCAGAAGCTGGTGCTGTACGAGACGCGGGCTGTAAGTAGCGCCTGCCCCGCCGGACCCGCGCAGCCGTCGTGGCCGGGCCGTGGCCTCGCCTCGCGTGCGGCCCATCACAAAACCTGGCGGCTTCGTGTCTTGCCTTTGCCTTTTTTTATGGTCACGCCTCCAAAATATTCAGGAAACTACCGCCGCCCCAAATACTTGGAAAGTTATTGTCGTCTTCACTGCGTCATTGCTCTGAGACATATGTTGAAAGCCTAAATGCTTTAAACATAAACACAGATACGTGGTGGAGGTGAGCAGTGCTTGGCCTGGAGCTGCTGCAGCTGGTGTGCTGCTTATTCCTGAATGCCTCTTCCTTGTGTGCCAGAGAACCAAACCCAGATATTGAATTCCAGCTATCCAGAACTGAGACTGCCATTAAAGATGAAAACAGGATGGCTGCAGGGGCTACCACCTGCCCGTTTGCCTTTCTTGAGAGACCGTAGCTCTCCTCAGCCAAGTTGCTCTTGAGGCAGCTTCTGGCCTCCTTAATCAGCTCTTCGGGCTTTTTAGTTTTCCTTAGTATTCTGCTCCTGAAACTGTAGGGATGTGCTGCTCATGGTGCCTGTGCTATGGGGCTGCCATGGGAAAAGAGGTCTGGAGGGCTAAGAGGGGTAATGGCTTTAGCCGGGAGATTAGGGTGCCAGCATGGGTGAAGCAGAGTCCTGTTTTCAGTGTAAATAACTGTCGTTGTGTGTACAATCCCTTCCCTGGCAATAGAATTATGCTGTAGTTTGTGTGGTTTCATCCTATGCTGGTTTTAACCTCAGATAGTTTTAGATAGATTCACAGATACCAGGATTTTGTCTTTAAATGCAGCAGCTAGTTCTAATTCTAAATAAATTCAGGTGATAATCTGAAGCAGTAATAGACAGTTTTGTGCTGATTTCAGCGTAGCCTCATGAAAACATGCAGACTAAAGGGAAGGCAGTCTGGCCTAGTTCCCAGTATGAAGAGTGAATTGTCACAGCAATTCTGTCAATAGATTTGTGTAGTAGATTAATTCCATGCTGAACTGTATGTGAAATGGAGGAGAAAGAGTGAAACACGCAGGTTTATTGGTGCTAGTGGGTGGAAGAATCAAACCTACTCTCGGTTTCCAGAATGTTACTTTTTCCTGTGCCTATGCCTGAAGATTTTTTGATGGATACCTTAGTGTATTTTTCTTATCATTGGTAGAAAACACCATTTGTGTTTTATTCTCAGCTACTGCTGTATTAAAGAAGGGCAGTATCTCCTGATTCAGATCCTGAATTTCCTTGCTCTTGGCTCACAGTTCTTGCAGCTTCTTTCACTTCTTGTGGTAGGCATGGAAAACTGGCTTAGTTGTCTCTAACCATTGACCTCAGCAGTGGCTGAGAGACAACCTGCTCCTCAGCGATGATGTTGGGCTTTAGGGTTCTGTCTGTCAGCTATGGTTCTGTAGGCATTTCAATTTGATCATGTTAGCTCTGGAGATCAGGAAAGACATTTAATTAGTGGTATCTGGTAGTTGCTAGATATGAAGCTAGAGCATGGGACCAGCAGTTATACTGGTTCCCCAGTAGCATCAGCATATACTGTATTATACCAGTATCGTAACTGCTATAACCAGTAGCTACCAGATATGGGTGGCATGAAACCACTCCTCAAATTCTATGTAGAGACTTTGAGCAGGGAGGGAAAGGATAACTTAGATTGTCAGCAACTGGAGAAAAATAGTGAAGTCAAATTGCTTATTTCCATTAAAAATATCTTTGTGTTAAAGGAGTGACAGGCAGAAGGCGGAAGAAAGTGAAAAAGCAGATTTTTTTTTTTGCCTATTTGAGGTAAGAGTACAGTAGCAATATAGAGGTCCAACAGGAAAGATTGCTAGACGTGAGGAGAACTGAATTCACAAGGACCACTGAAACAACAGAGAGCAAAATTCTGTGTTTTCTATTAATATTTATATTTAAGGTAGTTGCTGAGACCTATCTTTTTAACTCATGTTGTGGGTCAGTGAACACCATGCAGATGTGAATTCTATCTGCTGCTTTTCCTGGGAAATTGAGAGCTTGTTTAAAAGTAGCCAGGAAAATAAACTGAAACAGTTGTGTTCTGATCAATGCCTATTACCTTTTATTTTATGCATATATATTACTGTTGAAATGCACACCAGAGGGCAGTAAAGATATTTCAGCAATATGAATAATAAAAACAGAAGAAGTTTTTTTCCTGTCTTCTTCAGGAGAAGACTTAACTTGCATGTATTCCCCAAAAGAACCAACCTGAAAGTCCTGGTCCAGTTTACTGGAAATGCTCAATTCCCTGAGGTGTTGGGACACAAAAAAATCCATCTATGAAGAGTTATTGCTTACCTATCTTGCAGGTTCTTATGAGACTTAATTAATACTATGTTATTCGAATGAGATTCTTCTACGGTCTTCATAACATCAAGATGACTTCAAGAAGTGTATTAAGTTATGTGACTAACATAATTACCTGTAAATTTTGTCTTTTTTTTTCCAAGGGGAGCACTGTGTGGATTTTTTTTTTAAATTTCTCTTTAAAAATATTTTAAATATGTGTAACAAAAGCAAACAGTTTAATAAAGACAAGATCATAGAAGATGGTTAGGTAAATTAATCATGAGATCAGTCTGTGGTCAAATGGTCAACAAAAGATCCCTTCTTTCAAATGAACACCATCTCATTACGTCTATGCGATATTGCAGGAGTACTGATGGCATTACTGAGAAAGATGAAAGAGTGGGTAGAGGACAGAGAGCAGGAATTTGGTGAAATTCAGAAATGCACTCTTAAATGTGGGCAATACAATAAAAGAACATAATATACTGGTGTGGAATCTGAGGACAGGAGATACTTGGAATAATAGTGATGAGAAGCAAACAAGTTTGGACGATCATTTGCTATTCAGAAAGGATTAAAAAAAGATCAAAAGTGATGGCACAGTAGTGCGTGTGAAAGTTGTGCCTTAAAAGGTGCCTCATTTGTTTTAGGGAAAAAACTTTATTTTTTTTCTCTTGTCCTGGATTTCTCTGGGAGTCATTTTTTGAAGAAAGGGTGGCTGAGCTGCTAGTGAACTGTGACACTGGGAAAAGAAAATGCAGAGGTGCTCTTCAGTGATACAGTTATTAATAAGAAACACTAATGTTGTGTCTGTATGAGGCACAATTCCTTGTGTTTCTAAAAACATTTCAGAAGTGTAGATGCTGAAGTGGGGAGAAGCTTTTGGCTGAAGAAAAGCATATACCTTGATGATTAATAACTTCAGCAGAAAATTAAAAGGGAGAATCCTGAGCAGCTGTCCAATGAAAGTGGAAGAGGAAAGTCCTGATGGGGATTAAAAAAAAAATAGTTGCACTGGGGCAAATGGGAATTACATAATGTTGTATTTTTAGGATGTAGAAGATTTATTCCTCTATTCTGAGAATAGTGTTTGGCAAGATGCATTCTTAATGTTTCTCATCTCCAAAGAGCTTGCTTTGAAGGATTTCGGTAGATCATGGGAAGCGTGCAGCACAGCAGCTGAGCCTTTGCTGTTTTCGGGTAACTCTTTTGTCCCTTGTGTGCTCTTCTTTCTTCACAACTTCTTTATTTCTACCAGTTTGTATGGGAACAGAGGAGAGGTGAAAGATATTCCCTTAATTGTCCTGGGATCAATAGAAGGACAGAACATAATTTAGTTTTTGCTGGACCTTCCATCTAGGTGTCATTAATTTTCTCCCTAATCATTGCTTAGTAAAGTGAGCAGGCTGTACTTATATATATATATATATATTCAACCCTATTTATTATCTGGTTTAGGTCTTGAGGATTGCTGTTCAATACCTCAAAAACAGAAAAAAGAGACAAACTTTTTCCTGCATAACTTTGTGCCTGTTAAGAAGAGATTTGTTGTGAAGGTTGGATAGCAGGTGATAAGCATTGCGTTGCCCACGTAAGCATGTATTACAGCAGAGAGATCTCAATATTGTGCTGAAACCTATGATCCAAAGTCATACTTAATCAATGAAAGGAATACAAGGCTTTAAAATTTAATAGGAGTTAGGAAATTTTTCATCTTTCATCAGCATTGCCTTCTGTTGATCTTAAATGTTTTTAATAAACTTAAATTAGTTTACCTGTAATGTTTTTAAAGATGAAATGTACACATCAATGGAGACTTATATAATAATGTTACCTTTACAGTGTTTACACTTCCT